AACTAACCACTATACTAAAAACAAACAAGCAAGCAAAATAGAGCCAGGGACATGGAAATAAAAAACAAACTGACAGTAACTGCAAGAAGGGGGAGAGGGAGATAATGGGGGAAAGAAAGGGAGGAGTCATCAAGGAACATGCGTAAAGGACCTATGGACAAAGACAACTGGGGGTGGAAGGAGGATTGAATATGGGAGGTGAGGGTGGGTAGGTCAGGGGAGAGTGATGGGGGAAATGCGGAAAACTGTAATTGAACAACAATTAAATAAATAAATGAAAAACTAAAGTCAGACAACCTCAATATGTTAAATGAGCTTCAATAATACTGAGGATAAGGCTCTGAGCTCTGTTACTCAACCATTAATCCTCATGGAATCTGAGCATCAGGATGCCAGAATATCCTCAGGACATCATGATATTTCCCTGCTGAAAGGGTAGATCCAAATTAGCAAAGCTTGACATCTGGGGGCAAACGGAGGAAGTGGACCAAAACAGAAGCAGTTATGTTATGTTAAAAAATAAACATGCAAAAAATAATAATCAGGGAGAAGTGCATTGGTTATCAATTTCTATATGAAAAATTACCATCAAACTTAGCAGCTAAAAGCAGCAAATATTTATTATCTCACTGTTTTTATGGGTCAGAAATCTGGGCATGACTCAATCAGGTGCATATTCCTCAAGGTCTGTACAAGACTTAAGTCAGTGTGTTTGCCAGAGCTGCAGTCTCATTGGAAGGCCTGACTGGAGAAAGGTGTACTTCCAACTTGTCAGCAGGATTCATTGTCAGCAAGATTCATTGTTCCTCACTGGAACTAAGCTTTGGACTTAGAGCCTCAGTTCCTCACTTACTATTGTCTGAAGACTTCCCTCAGTCCCTTGCCACATGGACCTCTCCATAGGCAGCTCAAAACACGACAGTTTGCTTCAACCAAGCAAGCAGGAGACTTCACCTAAGAGGAAAACCATTGTCTGAAGTGACATCTCATCACCTGTACCCCATGCTATTCACTAGAAGCAAGTCACTAAATTCAGCCCGAATTTAAAGGGAGGGGACTATACAATGGCACGGCCTCTGCAAGATAGAGATCTTTACGGGCTATGTTGGAGGCTACCTACCGTGAGGAGAAAATAAACATTTCCTCTAAATAGACTGATATTGTCATGTTATATGTGGGACTATATAATAGCACATGAACTTATTAATGTTTTTAATAATAGGCATTTGAATACTCAAAATGTGTGTATTTTAATGTAATTATTCCCCTTCTAGTGTTGTTATAGCAAAAGTATTAGACCCTAACAATCACCAACCCCCACCTCCTCAGTGTTCTAAGGGATGTACACCTATGGGATAGTACACTGATTTGTTGCTGGGGTGAGAATAGTAGATGGAGAGGTAAAGAGAAAGGGTAGATCGTTCTATACTGGAAACCTGTGATACTTGGGGAGGAGGGTGAGAGTGGAGGGGGGCTCTGAAAGGGACGCCCAGCGGACAATAAAGCTCTGGGACCAAGAGCCCATGGAAAAAGAGTGAAAAAATGAAAAATAACTACCACGACGATCAGGACTTTGGAGAGACAGATACGGTCAAAGGAGCTTTAGAAGACTCGCTGGGTGCTGTGTGGTGCAATGCTTCACTGCAACCCCCTTCAAGAAAATGTTCACTTAAAAGCCACATTGCCCTGCGAGGCTTTCAGTTTTGAATTTGGGACACACAGTTTAAACATGAAACTCTACCGAGACTGGGCAACGACAATGAAGTTTTTATTTGGGCTATCTAGGACAATGGTCCAAGAAAACACGTAGGCATTAAAGAAATATGCATAAAATATTAATCAAACAGATATTTATAATAACAAAATATTTTTTCTAGGTCCAATAAAAATACATCACTGTAGGAATAAAGTAGGTATCTTTACATAATGAAGTGTTGCATAGACAATTAAAAGAGATTTTATAATAACAAAAATTGTTATAATAAAATATGAGGAGAAAAGGAAGATTATATAAGTTCATATGTAATGCGTTTAGGTTATGTATAAAAGAGCATATGCATTCAAAAAGAGGCTGGTTAAAATAAGAATAATAAAAGATTGCTTTTTATTTCCATACCACCCCTTTCTTCGTTAAAAACCATTTCCCTAGGACCTCCTATCAACACACACCAGGAGGACATGCTTTGCTTTTCTATTCTTCCCCACCTCCCTCATAGCCTTTCTGAAAAAGCAGAAAAGAAGCTGCTGGCACAGCCATCCCAGAAATCGACAATTGGTAAGCTGACCTTAAGCAAGTAGAGACGAGACCTAGAGCTCATCCTGACTGTCCCTATGCACCAGCCACTCCTGAACCCAGGCTCATGCAGCTCAAGAGCTGTCCTCAAAGACCCTGTCCCTGCCCCCACTAAAGTAGGCTGACTAGAATTTCTACTGTATCTGTTGATCTGTTGATTCTTCTAGGATTTCTTATTCTTAAGACCAGTCCACATTGCAAATCCAAATATCCCAGAAATCGGATAAGGATTTAAGTCCCTGACAGATCTATTGCTTTATCAGCACACTCCTGAAGTGACAGCAAGGAAAATAAACAAAAAGACACTGATCTTTCAGGACAGAAGGTAATTAACTAAGGAAGAGACACTAGGAACATTCTTTCATGATACTATACGAACAATACGAGTATACTATACAAGTATACTATACTATATACTATACTATATAAGTTGGAAATAGAGAAATGAAATTGCCAAGTGTCCAACTAATCGTATCTGTTCCTTTCAATAACCTTATAAAATTGACAAGAAGAATATTGTTCCCATTATATGGATGAAGAAACCCCAGCTTAAAGAGGCCCTGTCTCAGCCTAAGCTGTACTCTACACTCAGAGAAATATTCATCTTCTCTTTTCTCAAGGAGGTGCCGTTGGATAATTCTACTCCTAACCCATGTAGGCCACGTCTCTTGAACATAAGTGGTTTAGAGCTTTAGGCAGCCTTGGATTCTGTCATTAGGGACAAAAAAAGTCAATGTAAAAAGTTGTTCTTCTTCTGTGACTCCTATGACATCTAAAAGAATAATCACAGCAATTATACATCAGAAACAAAGAAGTGATAATTACAAAAACGAAATTTTCAGCTACCACTTGGCTAGCTAGCAACGGGCACTAACTTTTATATTTCCCCATGGGGCATATATGAAAGAAGCACTGAGTGGAAGAGAGATGAAACACAATTATTAGGACCCAGGGATTTATTCTTTCTGCTGCACAAAGGAAGAAGGGGGAGGGTGGCAGCAGCTGGAACAGTCTCTTCTTGCTCTTTGCAAAGATAGAAAAACATGGCCCTTCATCCTCTTTATTTTAATTTCCTTCAGAAACAATGACAAGACTTATCCAGTCTCTTGGAGCTTCCTTCTCCATTAACATGACTTCCTAGTTAACTAACTGACTTACCATCCCAAGAGTTTGTTCGAGGGATTTCTGAATAACAGCACAGTGACACTGAGAAACTGATCCACATTAACTGAGCAAAAAGCTATAGTTCCACACCCAGAATACCAGAGGAACAAGTATTCCCTATTTCTGCCTTAGTCTACTGAAAAATTTTAATAGTTCCAAGAACATACCAAATAATGATTGTAAGAATCATTACAGAACAAATGATAGTTGGTCTGAGAAAGGCAAAATAACTGGGAATAGTCCAGGTATTGAAACAAAAGCAATACTCCACTCCCTCTTCTCTCCCAGGTCTCGAAACTGCATAAAACATGGTCGGTTTTCACAGTATGCTTCGGAAATCATCATTTTTAACTCTGGACATATCACTGTGGGTCCTTCCAAAGGCATTGGTGTAGACGTGCACACGTACAAGGTACTCATCAGTGCCTGTTCTCTGCAACATCTACACCACACCCACCTCCATCGTATGTGGGGCATCATGAGTTTTTAAGAGTTTAAGGGAATCGCCCTAAGGCATTTAATAGAGACATGGATTAAGTACTACTTTCAAACAGTGTGAATTTTGTTTTTCTCTTAGATTAATCATACTAATCTCAAATCCTTTCACTTTCACCTTTACTGAATAAAGCAAGATGCAAGTAAGAAGCATTTCACATTAGAGCAAGGAAGAGCAAGAGGTAAAATTATGTCAAACTAAGTTTACCTTGTGACAACCGAGGTAAAAATAGCATGGGTCTATAAAGGAACACCGATTAACAAAGTCACTTTCTGATTTGGAGGAGGGCTAACTCTCCATGTGGAACATGAACTCACTCCTATAAAAGCTATTTTCAAAATGTGCTCCCCAGAAGTTATTCTGAAGGATTTATATGATGTCTCACTCATACACATACACACAAACACACGAAAGATTCTGTAGTAAAATAAGTGTGGAAATAAGTAACTTAAAGTTCAGCAGCCTTCTTCATTCAGGGTGTCCCCAGAGTTTAACACCCCAGCATGAATTCTGAGTCTTCAGGAGGGCAGAGCTAGCCCATCATATTTAAAATTATTTGTCTATGAAAACATTTGTGAAAAGAGAAGTTTTGTGGGTGGGGCTAGTGTTCCTCAGAGTACATTTCAGGAAATATACTGCCTTTTAGAATAGGTACATAAAAGAGGTGTATGTTTTAGGTTTTTTGTTTTGTTTTGTTTTGTTTTCAAAAAGAAGGGAGATCAGTACATAGCTAAAAGCGCCTGGCCACACAGCCTTCTCATTGAGCTTTCTAGCCCAGTGCTTCATAAACTTAAAGTACACATTAAATCACCAAGGAAAATGTTACATGCTGGCTCCTGATCAGTACATCTTGCCTGAGAATCTGCATTTCTAACAAGTTCCCAGGTGATGCTGATGTTGCTGGTCTAGGAACCACACTTAGAGTAGCAAAGGGCTAGAACTAGAATGCATGTGCCTTCAGTGATGAAGGTGTCCAGGGATTGTTCAGAACGCTATGCTGCCTGGTAATTCTTTATTCACGAGGGTGAGTCTGCGGATGGGGCTTACCAGTAAAACCTGTTGGGGGTGATGCGTTCATGCATGAGTTGCCAGCGTCTCCCAAAGTCCATGGAGCTGTAGAGCTGCAAAACAATGAAGTGAGGAGAGCATAAGCATCGAGAGGCATTTTCAACATGAATACACGGGTCTTCCCCCTGGAGAATAACATTCCCACACACCAGAGTGCCTCACACACTGAAACAGGCATCTGTTTTATCCAGATAAAAAATATAGGTATGTGACTGTGCTATGCTTATTACCATGCCTTCTAGCACAATTAGGTGCTTACTATGTATGCAATTGCCTGATGTTTGTGAGCTGAGTATAAACCATTTCTGAGGCTATCCATCATTCTCTCCTTTAGGGATAAAATCTTTAATAAAATTATGTCTCTTTCTTTCCTCCAAGTCCATGAAAGTCTTCAGCTATATCTAAAATAACTCAGTTTCAAAAGTACTTATTGGACAAGTCCTACCTGTAAAGTGCTCTGGTGGATATCAATATAAAGAAGAGGCAGATTCTGGGCTCAGAGAGAAAATGCAACACCTATGTGAAAATGCTCATCAGCTGGGATCTGAGCCAATATTTTATGCAAAACATTGGGCTCTTTCAGTTTCATCTCTTACTGCTCCCATATATAATCTAAACGAAATGGACTCTTCAATGTCACTCATGACACCAGGCTCATTTATACTCCCATGCACTTGCAAGATGGCAAAGATAAGGCCACTCTTATGCCTGAGTAAAAATTACCCACCCATGCAGAACCAGCACAAGCGTGGCTTCCTCTGCAAAGCCTGTTCTGACCACTTCAACCCACTCATCTTTCCTCCTTCTCAATTCCCTGTGCTCATCTTTGGTTTCCACTGAGCACTAATCACATGCTAATATATGGTTATATCTTTCAGATCTATCTGTGTCTAGTTGTGTTTATATTCCTTGAATACATATAAAGTGTTCACCAAATATCTGTTGCATAAATCGCTAATCAAAACACACAGGAGAGGATGGAGAGCAACTCAGAGAATGAAAAAAGATTCCAGAAGAGCCCCAAGAGCTTTGGGGGGAAAAAAATGTTTAAAACTGTCTGCATGGCTAACAAAGTCAGGTTCCACATTCACTTATTTTATGGATGTAGAGTCTGACCCCTTTGTAGCATAAGGGAAAGCCCATCATACCTATAAGAAACTAGCCAGGAGATTGGGGCTTCTTTTCAATAGGATGCATGATAGTACAATACCTGAATCTGATAACAAAATAATAATAATAATAATTCAACCACATTGTTCTTTCACATACATTTGAGCCTTAAAAAGACACTGTAAGAAAGGAAAGACAGTTATTACTAACTTAAACTCCTGCTCCCAAGCATTTTCTGATCAACCCAGGCAGTTACCCACTCACTCCATGGTGTCACCGCTATTTTTACTGTCTGCCTCCAAGAAGTTGTTCACACTAAACCATTTAAGGTTGTATGTCTCTCCTCCCACCAGACTGTGAGTCAGAGAGGGGCAAGGATCATGCCTTATTCACCTTTATGCATCAGTGATTATACAATGTCAGGTGCCTAACAAGTGAACATACAAACTTCTTTCATAGTTCAGCAAACTCAATCTTGGGGAAGTTAAGTCTTGGTCAAAGAAACTAGGATTTAAGTTTTCTGATGCCTGTATCACATCTCCTTCCATGGAATCATGGTATCTAGGTTATAATAAAGATTTCATCATGTTTATATTTCTCCCACAAACTTTCATAGGTAGAGAAATTGAGAAAGGCAAAAGTAGGTGGCCCTCTAGTTTATAGAAATGGCATCAGTTGAAGTAACCACACCCCCAATAGCTGCTCACCAGTCAGGATGTACTCTCCAGCACAACATGCCCAGGTAACTTTGCTGTCTGTTAAGTTCTGAGACCATAATCTTAGAACTCATTCAGAAATCATTTTTGAATAAATTCCTGGTAATTTCAAAAAAGATTTGAGGGGCTTGGAAAAATTTTAGCCCATTTCAGTTTAAATCAGCAAATATTGAACATTGGTACTATGAGCTATATAAAAAGTCTCTTTTTTGTCCAGTTAATGAAAGATGTGTTTATTTGTATTCCAATTTTATAGATTAAGATACTAACATTTGGTCTGCAAAGTGACTGCAGCAACTATATGGAAAACCAGGATGTCAATCCTGATTTAGTTGACAGTAAATTTATACTATACCACACCAACTCTACACCAACTCTCAACTCTCACCATATTAGTCCAAAATGGGCTCTCACTTCATGAGTAAGTACTAACTACTATGTGTGTCCAACTCTGCACATGGGAAAAAATAGGCAAAACTCTTCCCTATCACTCTTACTCCCTTTCTTTATTTTACACAGAACCACACCCAAGTCTTCAAGCAGCAAAAAGGGTAACCACTGACCATCAAAATATGCATAAAGGTGTACCACATAAAAGGGGGACATGGGCCAAAGACCAAAGCTCTAAAACTTGGGAAATGGGCAAGATTAACAGGGGTAGAAATGGAACAAGGCTTCCTGAAGAACTACATCCTGAGGTAGGCCTTTGGAGGTAGGTGGGGCAGACAGGAGAGAAGTGGACAGAGATTTTACTGAGCAGAGGAGACAATAAGAACAAAGGTGTCAATATGGCCAAGGACTTGAGCTTGGCTTGCAGGGAAGCTTTTCAGAGGAAGGAGGTTGGTGATGACTCTAACTGGCTGAAAAGAGACAGAGGTTGCCTGTCTGACTGTCCATTCATCTGTCTCCCTTTCTGCCCATCCATCCATCCATCTATCTGTGAATGTTTCTATATTTATCTGTATGTACATTTATGTTGGGGTGGTATGGGAGGAAGGATAGGGTTTGTGAAGTACCAGACGATCCCACTGAGAAGTATATATCCATAAACTTTACTGTACAAACTGAGCTCTCAATGCAGGGTTTGAAGAAATGGAGCACTCTCCTTCCCATTGCAGGTGTCTGAGGGATAGATGATCAGACTTAAAACACGTTTCCCAATTAAATACAGAAGAGACTTTAGTTGGAGCCTTCTGTAACACAAAGCTATTATCAGACTCTCTGTCAGCCCTGATTCCAATCATAGCAAACAGAGCCCCAAATTCCTCCAAGTAAAATCCAGCATGACTGGGCCTTCCACTGCTGCAAACTCTAGAGGCAGGCCATGGGTAAACCATGAGGGTCACACAGACACTGTGGGAGTCCCCATTTCCTGGGGACATGTTCAGTCCTTCCATCATAGAGGACCCTGGAGTGTCAGGATGCCATCTGCCCCAGCTCTTGCTGGTGCTCATCCTTGGGAAAAGCATGGCTCCTCTCATCAACAGAGAAAGAACAAGAGATGAGCTGCTGATCTCCTCATCCAAGTCTGTTCCACCTCCTGCCTCCCTTGTTTCTGGTTTTGCTTTTTCAGCTCTTCAGTTTGACTGATGGGAGAAAAATTAAATTGAATTCTCTGCCTAGAGGCTGATTCAGATGAATAGAAAGAGCAGGCTCCTATTCATTAAGAGCCTTGGGTTAGCTGCTTTGTCTCTCCATCTAGTAAGTTTTTAGCTGAGTGTGAAACAAATTTTGTTCTACCAGGAGGTGAACCTTTGCAGCCTCTCCATTTTACATTTGCTCATCCATTTCTTCATTCACTCATTCACTAAAAATATATCAAGCAACTGTTACGCTTTAGGCACTGAACTAAGTGCTGGACTTAAAGGTTAAAAATGCCATGAATAGTGGAAGACATCTATTCAGACAACTATACTGCAATGCGACAAACACTACAATATTAATACTAGTTATCTCTGCAATGGTAAGATTGTGGGCCATTGGTTCTTTCTTCCTTAGAGTTTTAAATTATTGTGAATGTGTATTACTTTAGTAATTCAAAAATTAAAACTCTAACACTCAATAAGCATAGGGGTACTTACATTCATTCAAATTAGTGTTTGGGGTTTCTCAAGATAAATTCCCAGAAGTAGAATTTCTGGGTCATAAGGCACTTTCCTTTTTAATTTTCTGAGGCATCTCCATACTGCTTTCCACAGTGGCTATACCAGTCTGTATTCCCACCAACAGTGCAAAAGTGTTCTTCTTTCTCCACATCCTCGCCAGCACTTGCTGTTTGTTGATTTATTGATGATAACTATTCTGACCAGTGTGAAGTGATATCTCATTATGGTTTTAAGTCACATTTCTCTGATGATTAGTGATGTTGAGCATCTTTTTATATCCCTATTGGCCATCTGTACGTTCTCTATGTTCATTGTAGCATTATTTACAATTGCCAAGTTTGGAAGTGGCCCAAGTGTCCATCAGTAGATGAGTGGATAAAACAACTATGGGACATTTATACAATGAAATATTACTTGGCTGTAAAAAAGATGAAAATTTTACCCTTTGCAACAGCATGAACGGACCTGGAGAAATTTATGCTAAGTGAAATAAGCCAGTCAGAGAAAGACAAATACCATATGATTTCACTCATATTTGGAATCTAATGAACAAACTGAAAAAAACAGGTAAAATAGCAACAGACTTATAGATAGAAAGTAGGCTGACAGTTCTTGGCTAGAGGTGGAAGAGGGTATAAAGTGGATAAATGATAATAGAAAAAATACAATAAAAATTAAATTTAAAAAATAAAAATAAATTTTAAGAAAGCTGTAACACTCAAATAAAAATGAAGCACATAGATACATAGATAACCATTAAATAGTATTAGAAGAGTATCTAATGATATGAAAATATTTATAATATGTCATTTTAAAATAACTATAATTTTATAATTTATTTTTAAATTTTACATAATATATATTATAAAACGTGCATACATTGTCATGAACTTTATTTAAAGTAGTATTGCAAAAATTTGAAACATATTAGAAAGTATGCCAAAATATTAGCAGTTGTTATGTCTGAATTGTGACAGTATAGGTAATTTTTATATTTTTTAAAGCTTTCCATCATTTTCAGATTTCTTTACAACAGATATACAAGGTCTGTCTAGAAGGTATCCAGCCATGTAATATGAAAAATAGACATTTACCGAAGAAGATACAAGATACAAGAAACAT